ATGAAAAAAATCGACTTTTAAAAATCACCCTGTAGAATCTTTAAGAACATCATCTCTCTCTAAAAATGTTTTTAATTTAATGAAGGAAGAATGAATTTTAAATTTTACTTAAATTTTATTTTAAATTTTAAATAATGCTTAAAAGTCTCCAAAATTTAGTCGTATGCCCAATTTTCAAATTTTCAATAAATCTATTACATGTGTTTGTAAACAAAAATAATTAAACTTCTTAAACTTGATATTTTAAAATTTTGTTCCTTGATAGATAGATAGATAGAAATACAGATTGATAGACAGAAAGCCATAGTTAGACAGATAGACCGATAGACAAACAGATAGATAGTCCGATAGATAGTCCGATGGATAAACAGATAGATAGACAGATAGACAGAAAAATAGACCGATAGATAGACAGATAGGCCGAAAGATAGACACAGATAGATAAACAGATAGACAGATATATAAATAGAGACAGAAAGATAGATATAGAATTTGGTGTAAGTGAACTTTGCAGGCAACAGTGACTCGCACTCTCATTGGATAATTTCCCTTTCATCTTTTCTCTGATTGGTTGAATTCATCTTTCCTGGTCTCTCATTGGTCAATTCACTTTCAAGCCAGGACTTAGAGGGGAGGCACAGGACATTGACCGAAGTATATTCAACTTTATATATCTATCTATCTATCTTTCTTTCTTTCATTCAGTATTGTTTCTATATATATATCTTTCTAACTATCTTTCTGTGTACATCTTCTGAGTATCTATCTATATATCTATATCTGTCTGTCTATCTTGTCTAGAAAGCAATATAAATTATCATTATGAAATTTTTATTTTCTAGTTTTTGAATAAAAATTTCATCACAAACTCTTAAAGATAAATTACATCTTGTCGATTTGTCAAGATTCTGTAGAAAAAAGTAAAGTAAAAAAGAAGTAAAAGATTAAAACATTAAGAGAAATGTTTAGAACTGTTAAGAAAATGATTAAAACATTAAGAGAAAAAAACAAATTAAAAAGTTAAAAATCAAACAAAGTCAAACTCCTTTCTATGTTTACAAGCCACCAGTTCAAATCATTCAAAGGCTTCTGTATTTTTACCATTTTTAACAAACTTACAAACCTTAGAACCTGGGGTATAGAAAAATATAGAATGAAAGGTCTGAAGACAAGGGAACAATGAAGTAAGGCACAAGAAAGAGGAAACGGGATGTAAGGATAAAAGAATAGAGAGTTGGGTAGTAAAGCCAAAGAAAGAGGAAGACTGAAGATTGAAGAAAGAGGATGGAGGTGGGAACGGGAGGTGATACCGAAGAAGAAGGTAGGAGAAAGAAGAAGCTGGTAATTAAGGCAGAAAAAAGAGGAAGGTGAGAAGTAAGGTAGAAGAAAGAGGAAGGTTGGAAGTAAGGCAGAAAAAAGTGGTAGGTGAGAAGTAAAGTAGAAGAAAGAGGTAGGCGAGAAGTAAGGTAGGAAAAAGAGGTAGCTGAGAAGTAAGGTAGGAAAAAGAGGAAGGTGAGAAGTAAAGTAGAAGAAAGTGGAAGGTGAGAAGTAAGGTAGGAAAAAGAGGTAGGTAAGAAGTAAGGTAGGAAAAAGAGGAAGGTGAGAAGTAAAGTAGAAGAAAGAGGAAGGTGAGAAGTAAGGTAGAAGAAAGAGGAAGGTGAGAAGTAAGGTAGGAAAAAGAGGTAGGTGAGAAGTAAGGCAGAAGAAAGAGGAAGGTGAGAAGTAATGCAGAAGAAAGAGGAAGGTGAGAAGTAAAGTAGAAGAAAGAGGTAGGTGAGAAGTAAGGTAGGAAAAAGAGGAAGGTGAGAGGTAAGATAGGAAAAAGAGGAAGGTGAGAAGTAAGGTAGGAAAAAGAGGAAGGTGAGAAGTAAGGTAGGAAAAAGAGGAAGGTGAGAAGTAAGGCAGAAGAAAGAGGAAGGTGAGAAGTAAGGCAGAAGAAAGAGGAAGGTTGGAAGTAAGGCAGAAAAAAAGAGGAAGGTGAGAAGTAAGGTAGAAGAAAGAGGAAGGTGAGAAGTAAGGTAGGAAAAAGAGGTAGGTGAGAAGTAAAGTAGAAGAAAGAGGAAGGTGAGAAGTAAGGTAGGAAAAAGAGGAAGGTGAGAAGTAAAGTAGAAGAAAGAGGAAGGTGAGAAGTAAGGTAGGAAAAAGAGGAAGGTGAGAAGTAAGGTAGAAGAAAGAGGAAGGTGAGAAGTAAGGTAGGAAAAAGAGGAAGGTGAGAAGTAAAGTAGAAGAAAGAGGAAGGTGAGAAGTAAGGTAGGAAAAAGAGGAAGGTGAGAAGTAAGGTAGAAGAAAGAGGAAGGTTGGAAGTAAGGCAGAAAAAAGTGGTAGGTGAGAAGTAAAGTAGAAGAAAGAGGTAGGTGAGAAGTAAGGTAGGAAAAAGAGGTAGGTAAGAAGTAAGGCAGGAAAAAGAGGAAGGTGAGAAGTAAAGTAGAAGAAAGAGGTAGGTGAGAAGTAAGGTAGGAAAAAGAGGAGGGTGAGAAGTAAGGTAGAAGAAAGAGGAAGTTGGGAAGTGATAATGAAGAAAGAGAAAGGAGGGAAGTAAGGCCGGAGGAAAAGGAAAAGAGAACATTGAGGCTGTTCACCTTTGTCCTTTTTTGCAGCCTCATTAATATTTAACTTCCGGTAGAAATATGAACTTCCGGTTTTCCATGATTGATAGTTTAGAAGTCCTAAATTTTCCTTAATTATTTAGTAATTATAATTTAAAAATGTTCCGTTATAATCTGTTCTGTGAATAATCATTCATGATAAAACTATTTCCCTGAGATTTTAATATAAACAAATTGGTTGAGAAATTAGGACGCTTCGCGCACCTCTTACAGAGCAAACTTTGACATTCTAGTTCTTCTTTCAATCATTTGTCTGGTCATAAAAATTATCTTGTAAATTAAATATTCTCTTTGTAAAATTCTCACTTGTAACATTTCTAATTAAATAAATCCAGGGTGACCCACAAAAGATGAGATTTAAAGGGACTGTCGACGTAATTTCAAGTGATCCTACATGAAAAGAGTGTACGATTACGCTACCATTTTTAAGATCAAGATTGAATGAGATATCAATTTCAACTTTGAAAATTGATTATTTCGAGTTTCTTTGTTTAAAATGATTGCAAGAAGAAAAATGTCAGAATTCGACTGTTTTTGGTGGAACAATTACGATATCTTTGACATTTTTGATCACATAACACGTGAATTTAATGGTTCTGTCAAAATTCCAGAAAGCTATGACTTTCGATCACAATTACAACTCTTAAACATAATTTTTCAGCCTTCTTTCTTAAATACTTTTTTTCCGGCATATATGTTTTGAATAAAAAGTTTTTTTACAAACAAATCCGTGACTTTAAAGATTGTCAAAATATAAACCAAAACGAGTATGATTTCAAATTAAAAAAAAAGAGATTTTTTTGTCCCCAGGACATGATTGGGTTGTTACTATCAAATCTCGGAATTTTTTCTATTGCGAAAGTTTGGTGTTGTCTGGGTTTTTATATTTATCTACCAGGGGTTGTAATCTGGCAGCACATTCATCCATCCACGCTTCATTCACTCTGAGAAGAGGGTTGACAAGATTCCAGTTGCCTAAGATTCTTCTTAGGCCTGAGAATATAGAGTGCAGGAATCCTTCTGATTTCAAATTGAAGAAACCGAATGCCTCTAACTCTGGTTAGTCGGGGGTGATAAAGGTTTGAAGGTTACCGTTGTGAACCAGGCATGCCATGATTAAATGTTTTAATGCTTCTGTAGTAATAATCCAAAATACAGTAGGCCCCATAAATATTTGGAATAGGAGGAAGACAGAAAATCAATTTTATGTTTATTTAATCTTGATATAAAGCAAACAGTCTTACCCTATAGCTTTAAAATAACTTATTATGGGAGATGGGTTTTTGTTACTTCGGAACTTCTATAGTTGAGATTTTACACACAAGTGAGAAAGCAAATTTATCTAGTTACAATTGAAAGGAAAACATAAAAGATTTAAATTTTACGTGTAGTTTACTTTATTCAATTAGATTTCTACCTGTGATTTTCATTGCATTTTCTCTAAGTGCATAAAATAAACAGAATATTTGTAAATTTGCTATTATAGAGGACGTGAGTCAGACTCTAATAAAACGCATAGATAACTTCCAGTATATATATTTCTTATAACTTATTACTAGAGGGTTCAGAACTAGAGTCAATATCGATATCGCACGTCTAGACTGTAGAGATCATATCAGTACTAATGCCCCGTATCCGTTCTATCTCATTCTGTTGAATCTTGTGGAACTAGTTTAACGCGGCCAGGCATCGTCTTCCACACTATTTTTATTTGTAAATTATCATTATTAAACAAATGTACCTTTTTCAGGGGCGTACGAGAACATTTGTCTCCTTAAAAACCCCTTTTTTGAAAAAATATTGATTCCTTTTTTAACTATGTAATCTATTCGATCATATACACACTTCTATATAACAAGTATTAATAAATCATTTATGTAATTTTCTTAAGTGGACTCATCAGACACTTCCTCTTAATACTGTGGTGTATGCTTCAATAGGTGAAAAATAGAGATGAAATCGTTTCTTAAAAATTATCTATATTTTCATAGAAACGATACATATTGTATAATTATAAATAATGATATCAAAGATATATTTACACTAAAGGCAGTATTGATTAAAGCTTTTTTAATGAAACTTTTTTAGTTAAAGGATAAAAGTGAGATTTTAAAATATTTTTATATGGGTGCCCCTCCTCAGGGGGGGGGGCACACGTAGGGGGAGGGCCGGGGGTACTGGCCCCCAACCCCTCGTACGCCCCTGACCTTTTTAAAGAACATTTATTAAACTTTATGGTCACACACATTATTTCAGCTTATGTTTAAAAGCAATAAGTAATGTTGGATAGTAAGAAATAATATATTTACAGTACATCCAGTACAGTATGTCTTTAAAAAGTTTTGATTAATAACAAAATATCACAAAAATAATATATTTACAGTACATCCAGTACAATATGTCTTTAAAAAAGTTTTTACTAATAACAAAATATCACAAAAGTTGAACATCCTCAAGAAATAAAAAAATAGGAACAGAGGGTAAAATCTGATTAATTTCAGACTGAAGCGTGATCATGACGGATTTGCATTTTTGCTTAGATTTAAAAACAAGAAATTTTAGCACCAAATTCTAAAAGGTGAAATTTATACGTGGTGTTAAGTATGCTAACATTAAGCCTAATCAACCATTCGAAGATCAATCTGATTGACGAAGAACAACAACAGCAGCGATTGAAGGCACTGTTGTTTCAGGTTGCTTTACTACAGAGTTGATTGGGATACTCGGAATGATGGTTGTTGCTGCTGGTTTCAAATCGCAAGCTTTATGAGAATACCATCTTCCCTCTCCAGGAGCAGGTTGAACATCAGAACAATCAGCGTTCGCTTCCACAAAGCAGTAGTCAAGAGCATCACAAGTTCGGTCAGGATCACCCATAACAGCATTAGCACCAGAGAGGGGATTGATGCAGGCGCACTTTACCTTCGGTGAGGAAGGGATATTTGTTCTTGATACACTTGGTGAGGAAGGGGTCCTTGTTTTTGATATGCTTGCTGGAGATACGTTCAGCAGGTTGGTAGCCCGGCAGGCATATGCTGAAAAGCATCGCTTCCCTCCGTCAGTGGGCTTTACGTCGTAGCAATCAGAAGAGCAATTGACAAAGCACCAGTGAGAGTCAGAGCATGTGTTTCTATGTTCTGATCCTAAAGTGCCAGGGAATGGATTGATGCATCCACACTTTGCCTTGGCGTTCTTCTGGTAAATGCTTGGAATAAAGTTAGGTCTATGATGAGCATTGGTGTAGAGGAACAGGGTGCAGCAGGTCTGCATCTGAGATAAAAGATATTGATAAATGATAACAGATCCAGATGGGGTCGAGGGGGGGGGGTCTTAAATCATACAACTAAAGTCAATCAACTAATCAAAACAGCAGAGTTTTGCATATTTTTTATTTAAAAATTTAAGTCGCAATGTTTGAAGTATTGAGAAAATGAAGTACATCTGTTACAGTGACACCCATAAACGTAAAAACAACATATAAGCAATCATATGTGTATTCGATGTTGTTACAAAAAAAAGTTTTACCAGAAGCTGAAATTCAACTTTTTAAACAATGAGCGTTGCCCAGGATACTTTAGTTCCTCCCGCCGTTTACCCGCACTTGGTCGATTTTACCTGGAAACAACATTTTGCTATTAAAGTCGATTTGCTCAACTTAGACTCTCAAAACAAAGCAAAAAAATTCCCCCGTGGTTCTCCCAAGTTCCTCAATCAAAATTTGATGCAAATTGGTGAAAGGGGTTCATGAGTTATGATCGTACATACAAACAAACACCCAAACAGAGATTACAACTTTACATGTATAAACACTTGAAAAAACTTACCAGCAGAGCTAATTTTGTGGACTTCATGGTATTAGATTAAAGAAAGAACTGACCCAAGCTAGAAGAGATAATCAATATATACCCTACCTTACGGACCATTACGTGTTAGTTAGAATCACCATTGAGAAATTTTACAGGTTGTCAAAGAAAAAATTTTATGCTTTCACAAAAATTGTTTAGGTAAAACTGCGAATCTTTATCAAAATCAAACCTCAACCACCCTCAAAGATGCTCATCCAACCTAAAAACAATTTAAAATGACCCCATTGCAGATTTATACTTGTAAGTTAAAACATTTGTTATTGCTCACCCTTTAGAGTTTAAAAAACTGGGAGTCACAGAAATTCTTCAACCAACCCCAGCCTTAGATATAGAGGGGAAATTTGAATATAGGGGATTCACACTTATACATCTTCAACATTAGGTGGGGCTTTATTTTGAAAAAAAGACCAGTGAGCTTTCTGGTTAAAGAGGATCTTTTTCACTTAGTATTTTTTAAAAATTGTTCCATTATTATGAATTAAAATATTTTTAAAGAAATTACTCAAAATTGTAGAAATATGGCAGACACGATTAACGCAAAGAACCCTCCATGCAAAGGTGACAATGTCCTATTCACAACGTTACCCTTGAAATATTTGTTTGTATGAATTAGATATCAATGCTTACAGTTTTTAAACCCGATTATTTTCAATTGTGGTTTCTCTACAAAAGTAACCTGCGCACATTTTTACCACAAGGAAACACACAGAAATGCGTAGAATTTAACAATCTTAAATCTAGAAAAAACGACAAATCTTTCACATTTTTATTCAGACAATGCGTTTGAGGGTACCATTGTGAATCTACCAGATTATCAGATACAATAGATGACATTAGAGAAATGGATCAATTATACACGACGTCATAATTGTTAAATATAACAAGAAAAACTATTTTTTTCACATTAGTTGACATGTTTTCCAAGATTAAATAAAAAAGTTTAAAAACATAAAATAAAGAACGCATAAAACTGCAATTATTTTACTGTTAGATAAGCACTTTGTTCTAAAATTATCATTATTCCTATTCCCTGAGTAAAGTACAGTGCAACGCAGTACAATACAGTGAAGCAGAGCAGCTTCACCTTCAATTCAGTATATTTAGTGCAGTACATTGCATTACATTACTTAAATAACATCACTTTACAATACATTACATTACTTTACATTACATTACATTACTTTACATTACATTACATTACTTAAATAACATCACTTTACATTACATTACATTACTTTACATTACATTACTTTACATTACATTACATTACTTTACATTACATTACATTACTTTACATTACATTACTTTACATTATATAATATAACATTACATTACATTGCATTATATAATATAACATTACATTACATTACTTTACATTGCATTGCATTACATTATATAATATAACATTACATTACATTATATAATACAACATTACATTACTTTACATTACCCTACATTGCATTACATTACATTATATAATATAACATTACATTACATTACTTTACATTACTTTACATTGCATTACATTACATAATATAACATTACATTAAATTACATTAAATTATATTGATATCTTATTTAGCTGATTTAAATCAGTATCTCTTACACTGCAATCTGAGCTGCTATTCTAGCCGCTTCCAGAGTCTCCGCTAATTTAGCTGCTCTTACAATATGGGATGCTTCCACTTCATTCCCAGTTGCTTCCTTTATTACATGAGATGCTCCTATGTTAGCTTCACTTACAGTTTAAGCTGCTCCCAGAGCTATTCCCAGAGTCTCTTCTATGTTAACCTTACTCGCAGTTCGAGCTGCTCCTAGAGTCTCTGCTATGTTATCATCATTGTTATCATTATTGTTATCATCATTGCTATCATTATTGTTATCATCATTGTTATCATCATTGTTATCATTATTGTTATCATCATTGTTATCCTCATTATTACACTCATTAGATCCACAATGAGGGGGTCTCTGTTCTCAGAATCCTCCTCTGGTTCCGCTAGTGGTTTAACAACAGGTCTGTGAAGAGCTGTTCCACAATGAGTGGCGTCTCTTCTGGTTCTCCTCTGTATCCAGGATATTCCAGTGGGTAGTTCAGATGGGCTGGTATGAGATAAATTGGTCCAGTTCTAGAAGCTACAGAACTTGATGAGATCTAAAGATGAGTATGGTGAGATCTCTTGATGAGATCTACAGATGAGTATGGTGGAATCTCTTGATGAGATCTACAGATGAGTATGGTGAGCTCTCTTGATGAGATCTACAGATGAGTATGGTGAGATCTCTTGATTTCTCAATCATGTCCGAAGGGTGATCCCGTCCTCGTAGATCCTCATGATCTCCTCTTCACCTGGAGTCATTGGTCTATATCGGTATTCTGGCTGCTCCATATCTTGGGTGTCTCCTTTGAGAGAAGATGGAGCCTCTGCATGTCCTGGAGATCCTGGCTGTTCTGAGTCTCAAGTGTCCCTACGACATGAACCATCTCAAGGGTCTAGAGCTTCATCTGGTACACCTTGATCAGTAATTGGACTAGCCAGGACTGTTACAATCTTAGCTGTGCCAGAAACCTATGGAGAGAGGTCCCTTGGGGATGCTGATGAATCTGAAGTAGCATCCTCTTGGATATCGATGGGGAAGGAGGCCGGTCAGGTGTCTTCCTTGGTCCTCTATTAGGCATAGTAAAGGTATCTTGAGAGCTGTCAATGAAGTGCAAGTCCCCAGGCCTTAAGGGGAGCTAAGCTCTAACGTCTATCCTGTATAAGATCCTGGATTGTACTGCTCCTATTCTCCAGGTTCTCTAATCAGCTTGGATTCAGACAAAGGGTTGAGAGGTTTTAGTATCTGGTCATATTCTAAATATTACACCATGCTTTAAATACTACAACAGTACAGTACATTACATTTGACCCAGTACATACAATACTACAGTACAGTACATCACACTACAATACATTACATTTCAGTACATTGAAGTCCACTAAACAGCACAGCACATTTTGCTGTGCAACAATAATCAAGTAAAAGAAATTTGCTGTTGATCACTTCACTTTTCATTTACTTTTAATTATTTTTTTTAGTCTTTTTCACCGATCTGACAAAATTTAAACATAGATACCATCCAGATAATTTCTAGATAAATTCTAGATATTTAAAACCTAAATATCATCTAGATATTTTAAACCTAGATATCATCCACAGATTGACTTCCAGTTTAAACCAATAAATCATCCAGAAAATTCCAAGTTTACGCCCAGATCACTGCTTGAATACACCCAGTCAACAACCATTTATTCAACCCTAACTTGGTGAAAACTCGAGTTTTAACCCCAGAAATGGCACGTGTATTGCAGGCGAAAACTTCACTGTGAAACTTAACTAAAACTCAACTTCCTGAAGGTAACAGTGGAGTTTAACTGGAGTTTTGGTTTGCTGGGTATAAGTTGTTTTAGGCTTGACAAAATTCTGGTTCGTTTTTTTGGTTATTTTTTTTTTGGCCCTCACATTTCATGTATGCGGAAAAAGTAACAAATACGTTCATTCTTGGAATAAAAATATTGCAAATTTTAAAAGAATAAAGTTTTGAAATATTAAAAGTTTAATTCAAATTTTTTAAATAACAATAAGTAACGAATAATAACACTGTTTGTTTATAAAATGCCAAATCATTTAATAACAATTCAGAGTTTGGTTTTTAAATCCAAAGAATTTCAGGTTCATCATGTAAATATCAGTTTTCTCCAACGTGTTAGTTTCTAAAAAATCTTATGCTAAAAAATATTGATTTTTATCTTAATATTTTTTTCATTCTAAAAAATATTTTGCATCCTAAACTACTACATGAAGGAATAATGCATATGTTTTTAACTATTATAATTATCTAGAATATCTATCTATCTTTATAAATTTCTATCTATCTATCTATCTATCTATCTATCTATCTATCTATATATCTATCTATCTATCTATCTATCTATCAGTTCATGCACTTTTTAAGTAAAAATTGGAGCAAAAAATGTAGGCCGGGGCCAATACCCTCCAGCCTCCAGTTAGATAGATAGATAGATAGATAGATGGATAGATAAATAGATAGATATTTAGATAGATAGCTAGATAGATAGATAGATAGATAGATAGATTGATAAATAGATAGATAGATAGATAGATAGATAGATAGATAGATAGATAGATAGATAGATAGATAGATAGATTGATAGAGAGATAGATAGATAGATAGATAGATAGATAGATAGATAGATAGATAGATAGATAGATAGATAGATAGATAGATAGATAGATAGATAGATAGATAGATAGATAGATAGATAGATAGATAGATAGATAGATAAATAGTAGGATAGAGAGGGAAAGTTCAATAACCTCTGTATCCTGACTCCGTTAGTTCAACGGAGCCACTTGTCAAACATACAGTGTTTATATAATCTACAATATAAATCCTGTACATGACAGTGTATAGAGTACTATAAACACCGTGCAACAGATTACAATAGACATTGTACATTGTACTCTGTACAGTATACAATGTACATTGTACTCTCTACAATGTACATTGAACAATGTACATTGTACAATGTACATTGTACTCTCTACAATGTACATTGTACAGTGTACTATGTACACTGTGCATTGAGCACAATTCACTGAACATTGAACTGTACAGTGGTACACGGGGTTTTGTGTTTTCAATTCTAATCTTTATTATATAATAAAATTTGACAGTTATATTTCTGTTGATTTGAAAACTGTAAAAAATAGATAATGTTATTTTCAGAAAGTATGTGAATTTTGTGATGAGACCCCCTGAACCGCTTTAAGAGTGAAGTACCAGAGAGTAATCAGCGTACATAAGAATGTAAACTGTACGAAAACTGTACAACTGAACAGAAACTGTACAACTGAACAGAAACTGTACAACTGAACAGAAACTGTACAAGTGAACATCATGCCACCATTCTGCAAAAGTAACGAGGTGTGTTCCTTATCTATATCATAAAATAAACGTATGCAAAGCTTTGTAAAATATTTTTAGAAATTTTAGGGAATTTCTGTTTTGGTTTAACATTTATTTGGAATTTTTTGTCAGTGACAGCAATTTTTTAGTTTTTAGTGTACCTCATATTGAATTTTAACAGCCTATAAAGGTTAATTCCGATAAAAATACAAGAAAAACGCTGTTTGTAAAAATATATCCACTTTATAGAAAGCTACACTCCTAAAACACTACCAGATAAAAAGCTGGTGAAGAAAAAAACGCTATTTTTTTGCAATACAATAAGTTGGCGTCTGTGTAAAATATAAGGTATTCCTAAGATATTGAGGGCGTTATTAGAGTGCAAAGACCTTTGATGCATCCCACCATCACCACCCCGAGTTTTCTTCTAACTTAAAGCACCATAAACAATAATTTGAATGCTAAGCATCATCAGAAAATGACTTCATTAGATCTTGCGATTCTAAGATTTGGCGCCATAATCTTGATATTCCACATTCCAAACTACTTCTCTAAACTGCCTGAATACTGCCTAAATACTCGCTGAAGAATGAAAATGCCTGGAGGGAAGTGTAAGCTATGGTTTGGCAAGGTTATCTCTCTTCAATATTATACAATACGTTGAACCTGTGAAAACCCAGTGAAAACTTTCAACTGCTTCAGAGAGTAAGAGTTATTTAAATCGAATTCTTATTTGAGGCAGTATACAAGTAAACTAGGTAGTCAGGCAGTATCTATACATACTTTGCTTGTCTGTCTGCCTGTTTGTCTGTTTATATCTAATAAACGTCAAAACGGCAGAACCGATCGAGCCCAAATTTTGTGTGGGACCTCACATGACCCCAGGGAAGGTTTGTGGATTATCAAAATTTCAAAATTCGATTTACATTAAACTTTGAAAATCCACAAAAAAAATTTTTAAGATCAACGAACCTTTTTTGTTATTGTTTTACAATGTACACAAAGAGAAAATGTTCACAATTGAAAAAGAAGAAGGGCGCAAAGCGCCCTGAGAGCAGTCAGGCAGTATATTTGTAAACTGGGCAGTCAGGCAGTATATTTGTAATCTGGGCAGTCAGGCAGTATATTAGTAAACTAAGCAGTACATTAGTAAACTAAGCAGTATATTAGTAAACTAAGCAGTATATTAGTAAACTAAGCAGTATATTAGTAAACTTTAGTAAACTAAGTAGTATATTAGTAAACTAGGCAGTATATTAGTAAACTAGGCAGTATATTAGTAAACTAGGCAGTCAGGCAGTCAGACAGTATGTTCAGGCAGAGTATAATGTCAATGAACCAGAGCACTAGATTCATTGAACTACAGGCTAGCTTATACCAGGCAGATAGATAGATACATAGCTAGATAGATAGGTAGATAGATATATATTCTGAAAATCGAAATAAAACTTAGTAGAATAAGTAACAAAAGTTGGTGGGTTTAGTGTTTATAAAATTGAAAAAGAAAACAAAAAAAGAAAAGAATTGAAAGAAAGTTTAAAACTATGATTTAAAAATATTTTTAAAGAGAAATGAGTGAAAGTACTGCTTATATGCCAGTTTTGGGTACATAAAAACAATAAGAAATTTAAAATTTAAATAAAACATAAAAATGCAATGTAAAGTAAAAATTGAAAAGAGAGAAAGAGTATAAGGAACTTCATGTTTTGCTTGCATCTGTATAAGTTCTGAATATATGATGAGAAAAAAAACATGATTTAAAAGAATGTAAAAATATTATGGAAAAGAGAAGAGAGTGAAAGGATTATTATGCTTTAATAGTGAAAGTTTGAGTTGAATGACCCTTAGCGAGAGTTCAATGAACTGCTTTCTCTCCGGGCTTTCTAACTTTTACCCAAAGATAATATATATATTATATATATTATCTTTGCTTTTACCTAAACCAACTTCCCACGAGAAAATATCAAAATATTCAACTTTTTTGACAGTTCTTTTTTAATTCTACAACATTAAAATATTTTTTTTCTGTTAACATTTTTTTAATAAAAAAGATACATTACACAGTTATTGTTTTATACCATTATTAGGCGCGCAACTAGACATTTTGTCAGGGGGGCAAGGGGAAAATATTTTGCGCGAAGCGCGAACAAATATTTTTGCCCCCCCTGAACATTTTTAGGGGGGGGGGGGGGCAAGAAAAATGTGTATTATTCAAACATTAAAAAAATAACCTCACCAACCGGATATTCAGTATAAGTCAACACATCTATGAAATAAAAAAAGAAAACTAGGATTAATTTAAAAGTTGTACTACAGTATTAAAGCAAAATCATAATAAGTGGCAGAACTGATAGTGAAAATATCTAAAAACACTTACTAAACCCCCTTTCCCTTTCCCAGGAATTCATGAATCGCTAAATTGCAAAACAGGGTGGATTTCTTGCCCCCTCTCCTAAGAGGGGGACAAGCCTTCTTAAGAGAGGGGCACCCCCCTTTCCTTAATCAGACCCCCTCCCCCCCCTCCATCCTAGGCCTGTGCCTGTTGCCTGTGTTGCCGACTGCTTGAAGAACATATTTGATACTTCCAAACCAAGAATTTGAAAGAACTCTCGAGTTTGAACAAAAATTTTGTCTAAAGTAAATGACTTAAATTTGTTTTTTTGTCCATTCTAAACATTTTTGCAATTTTATGCAACTTATATTTTTACAATCTTCAGAAAATATATATAAAGATTTTATTCAACTGATGTTTGTTTTTATTTTAAACTAGCTGAAGGGCCCGGCGTTGCCCATGGAAAGTTTTTTTTAAAAATATAATTTTAAAAAATTAGAAAAAAATCTAATTTTTTTTGGCAATAACAACCCTGAGTGTCCACAAAAAAAATCAGCCGTTTGGCCGGCTATACGCAACATATATAAATACGAATGTCTTGTTAATATATAGATTTGATTTTTCTGATCTACAAATAATCTTTTAGTTGCAGATTTTTTAAATTGGCTTTTGTTAAAAGTGCAGTATTTTAATGTTAAGCCCCCCTTAAGAAGTCCTTAACATGGGGTCCATATAGTTCCAAAAATTTCTAATTTTCTAGAAAATTTGAAAAAAAATATGCCCCCAGTCTTCACAGTCAAATTCACTGTAACATTTTTCAATATAAGCTTTGATTCTTTTTATTTTTGCCCCTTTTTTTAAAAAATGCCCCCAAATTGGATTTTTAAAATGACACTCAGACATTCTTATAGATTTTAATTTGCCCCTTTGTTCAACATTTGTAACCATCATTTACAAGAATGCATGCTACCGTATAATTTTAATTTTCACCTAAATTTAATTTTTTATCAGCAAATGTTTTTTAAAAAATGTCCCAAAATACTTAAAAATTAAGAAGACTTACGCCCAACAAAAAAATAATACTTAGATTAAAAATGCCTATATATTTTAGAAATGCCCTTAAATAAAAAAAATTGACCCCAAATAAAGATTTAAGATTTCTTAAGACTCATACACAAATTGCCCAAACTGAAAAAAGCCCCCCAAAAATAAACTTTTCTCTTAAAACAAAGATTTAAGATTTCCCCCAGTTTTCCAAGGTTGAGTATAATACACATTTTGCATGCCCCCCCCCCCCATAAAATGGTTAGGGGGGACAAAAAAAACTATTTGCCCTTTGCCCCCTTGCTGAATGTCTAGTTGCGCGCCTGTAATAATATATGTTATAGTTGCAACTTTTCTAAAATGTGATGACATTGTAATGCTCTTATTTTCACTTTCGTAAATTCTTTTTCTGTTGAATTATATTAGAAAAAATATTTTGACTTCTGGGACAGTATTTTTTTTTATTTTAATATGAATTGTAAAATTTCTCAAAATATAGTTTTATACTAAGTGTATCTATAAAGAAATAATCTCTGTATTTCTGTTTGTTTATGTCTTTCCAGAACCAATTGACCGATTTGCCTCAAATTTTGATTGGGGAACAACGACAATAAGCTGAAATTAATATTTTTCATATAAGAACCCCCCCCCAAAAAAAATTTATATTTTTTTATTTTTAGTAAAAATTTAATAAAATCTACAAAATTTGACAACAATATTAAATATAATTTTTATTGATATGAAACATTATAGAAAAAATAATTTATCAAATATTTGTTGCTATTGAAACAGAAAGCTTGCAGAACCTATCCGGGGACATTAACCCTACAGTACTTAGCCTCCTTGCCCCCCCCCCCATTTAACCCTTTCCATAAGGGGACGGTAGCTCTCGCTTTCTTTTTAATTTACGGAGCACTACAGTTTTGGAATTAGTAAACCTCCCAGCCCCCTTGCAATGTATTATTTTTTGTAACAATTTCTAATGGACAACCATTCTAAATTTCTTTGTGTGTTAGTGTTGTGTGTGTTTGTGTGGGCCGGTTTAAAGTGACGCATTTTGAATACTGAATCTCGGAGGATGAAATTGTTTTTGCATTTATACGTAGTGGGGTGACTGACTTTGTTTGTGGGCCCGGGAATATCTATATAAATAATTTACGTCAAATATTTTTTTTAATGTTTTTATAAATATTTTAACATTAATATTCCAAAAATATAAACCTTAAAATTTTTTTTGAAATATAATTTCAGGGCCCTGGTTACAGCTGTAGTGGGGGGTCAAAGAAACGTTCGTTGAACCCCCCTTGGTCCCCTTCGTCCACCCCCCCTCTCTTGTAGCTAGCTTGAGTTGTCAGTAATGAACAATACACCGGCAGAACAACATTCTGTGAAGAGTTTTTAAAACTCTCGTTTTCATTTTGGAATTAATAATTCCTTTTCTAAATGTTCAAAAAAGTGTAAGTTAAATTTGTATAGTGAGATTATGTGCTAGAATCTATCTTTAAAAAAGGTACGAAAATTAGTTTTTATTATACATAAAATGTGATGTCATTTTAATTTTTAAATTTTTATAATTATTTATTTTTTTATAAAAACTAATCTTTAATTGTTGTTTACATTCGGATCTTTTTTGTCCACACTAAATGTTTTGGCAGACTGAGACAACAAAATGTTTTAACTTTTTTTGAATCATTTCCATTATTCATATTTAAATGCGTCCAATTTAGGGTTTTTTACTTTTAAGTGCGTCCACTTCAGGGTGTTTAATTCATTTTAGAGCGTCCACTTCAGGGTGTTTAATTCATTTTAGTGCGTCCACTTCAGGGTGTTTATTTTAGTGCGTCCACACTTCACTTCAGTGTGTTTAATTTAGTGTGTCCACTTCAAGGGAAACATCCCCTTTTTAAAAAGACTTAAAATCTCTGTTTTAACTTAAACATGTATCATTTACAAAAAGAATAATCGTGATGTTTCAAATCATAAAAACATTTCACCTTCTTCATTATTTGTATTGATGGCGGGGGGGGGGGGGGGGGGGAGAAAGTACAATATTTCTAAAACTTATTTTGGATACAAGGTATTGTTTTAATTTTTCATTCATTAAGTGTTAAAATGCTGTATTATCATTCTCATAAATATTAAAACAATAACAAAATATTCTTTAAACACTTCATGTACAGTTGAATGTAGATACATATATATATTTTAATACAATTAAGCTAAGTACAAATTTAGATAAATAATTAGAGTGGTGACTCAAAAAATGTTTTTTTTCGAGAGCTGAACTAGTTCTCAAGCTTTTAAATTATTTTTTTTCAAAGGTGGTGTTGCGTCAATTAGTGCTTCCAATTAAGTGGCCCCCCCCCCATCTCCTGTTTTAAGTTTACAAACTGGATTTTGGAATTATTACATCACGTTGATTCAATAATTTAAGGCTGTTTGACACTCCTTAGATTTATCTTGTAACCTTACATAACTTGAAAAAAATTATTCATTTTTAAAGCTTTAAAAACACTTGAAATTCTCTTTGATTAAGACGTCTCAATTAACTTGATTGCTAATTAAATAAACCATGTAAAACATATTTCTATCTTTACTCTATCTATCTCTCCGTCTAACTATCTATACTCAAAGTCAATGAATTATGACCTTGCCCTTGCATTGGTGTAAAAGTACGTCTAGACTGAAGTGTACACTGGATGAATTGGATAGACGAGACTTTTGCGGATTTTTTGCCGCAAACTAAACTTTACCCGCATTTTGCGCCTCAAACAGCCGTTAAATCACTCTACAATCTGCACGCACTCGGTGTAAGGCATTATATTAGCCCTTGTTGCTGGGNGGGGGGGGGGGGGTCTAGACTAGGTGTTTAAGAATTTAGTTTTTTTGCTATTGTGTTATTTATACTTGGTTTTCAGTAAAGATAAAAATTTAGCTAAAAAGAGGAAAATTATGTCTTTTAGATTTTTAAATTTTTTATCGGTTTATTATCTGTAATTTGTTCATTTTAAAACCGTTTAACGAACTTTAAGAGAAGCTTGTAAACATAAAATCGTTGAAGATTTAACAATTATATTGAAGGGAGGATACAATTTATCAGTTGAAAATATATAGAAATTTATATGTAGATGATTATTGATTAGTTTGAAAAAATTGTTAAAAAAAACATAATTAAAATTAGACATAAAATGTTTAATAAAATCTTTTCATCAGTAAATTTAGTATTAAATATCGACAATAACCCCCCCCCCCTCGTTTTTTCAATCTACCTTCATTTCCATATTTTCTCGAAATGACCAAATATAAAAGTGAAATAATCCTTCTTGGCGATAACAAAAATGATTTTGAATTTTTGTTTGTTTTCAGATGGAGGATAGACTAGACATATACAACACTTCTGAGGATGAACTGGCCGGCCTCGCCGTATACAACGTAGTGGACTCCGCCGTATCCCTCAATACGCCGAATAGGGCGGAGAAATCACTGCCTAAAAACCTGATCTTAAAACCGACAAATGCCTTGCCGGATAGTTCTACAATAGGTAAGTTGATAAGGAATGGGTAAATATTTTAAGGGGCAATTTTTGGAAGTTCTTGGCGCGGGATGTTTTTATTTTTAGTGTTTGGGCCCGGGAATATATATATAACAATGTTTAGGTGTTTGGGCCCGGGAATATATATATAACAATGTTTAGGTGTTTGGGCCCGGGAATTTGTAAATCAATGTTTAGGTGTTTGGGCCCAGGAATATAATATTTTATGGTATTGTATGGTATTGTATTGTATTGCATTGCATTGTATTATAGTATATTATATCATTGTAACTTGTATATTATAGTATAGTAGTATATTCTATTCTATTCAATCCTAACCTATCCTATCCTAGAACCTGGTTGCCTACCAGGATGGAGAAGATCTATATTTCCTGACAATAAAACCGATTCAGAAGGATGAAGAACTCACGGTCTGGTATTGCAAGGAGTTCGCCAGCAGGCTGGGATATCCTTCTACAGGTACTATAATCAATCAATCAATCAGTCAATCAATCAATTAATCGCCGAATAAATCAATCACTTAAACATTCAATAAATCATTATATTAATCAGTCAATCAATTGACCTGTCAACTATTCAATTTTTATATCTATCCTATTTATCTATTTATTTAAACAAAATTAACATTTATCAATTCTTTAAAGGCATTTTCGTACAATGAAATATCATAAACCAATTAATTGCAAATTAATTTATGTCATTTATTTTGCTTTCTGTTCACAAGACAAAGTCTTAATTAATCACTTTTCAGTTCACAAGTGATTTAAATTCAAAACCTATTTTTTATCACTAATCTATAACATATTTTAAAGCTTTTATAAATGGGGGCTTTTTTGCAATCATTTTTAATTTTATAATTCTTAAAATTATCATATACTGCTTTATTTTGTGCTGCTTCACAATTATTAAAGCTGCTTATTTCCAGGTCAGCAGATGATGGAAAAGGTTAGATCTAAACAACAACAGCAGCAAGAGCTTGAAGCAGCTAAACGAGCAGCTATTGAACAGCTCCAGAATGTTTATGAGCAGCAAAACAAGATTCTGCACGCTAGAGAGGTATTTCATGATTCAATCGTATTTAATTATTTCTTTGAGCAAAGCAAGTACGATTCACATCGGTTCATCTCAGCAATGCAAGGAAATGTTATATCTGCTAAATTCTTATTTCTCTCTTCAATAAATCCGCTAGTTGTTTTTATAGAGAAAAAAAAGGATAGCTCATTCATCTTTAAATATAGAAAGATTTAAAGGATAACGTTGTGAATCGGACATGCCACTGTTTTTTGTTTAATTCATAAGGGTCACTTAAATCACGTACACACTCGATTAAAGTAAAAGTGATAATCAATTATTGATCAATTGTTTGATTTAGGACGAACTGAAGAGAATTGAAATCAAAGAAGAACCCGAATCATTCCGTCAAAACATTATCCCACCTCAGTATAGAGGAGATGTCTACGAGGCCCCTAAACGGTCCCCCTATGAGGGACTGAAGGGGTCCCCTCATGGATCTGAATCTGGATATATGGGTTCCCCTCAATCCTCTGGATCTCCTGGATACACTACATCAGTAGATTCTATAGATCAGGTCAATAGAGGCATTTATTCATTCATTCAGTAGTTTGTTTATTCTTTTATTCAGCCATTTATTTATCTGTTTATTTTTCTTATTCATTCATTCATTCATTCATTCATTTGTTTATTCTTTTATTCAGTCATTCATTTATCTGTTTATTTTTCTTATTCATTCATTCGTTAATCTGTTTATTCTTCTATTCATCCTTATATTCATAATTTCATCTGTTTTTTCTTTTACTCGTCATTTTATTCATTTACTCATTCATCATCTGTTTATTCTTTTATTAATCTTTTCACTCATTCACCCATTCATTCATCTGTTTATTCACCTATTCATTCCTTTATTTATCTATTTACTCATTCATTCATTCATTAATGTATTTATTCATTCTATCTTCCTTACTTTTATTTGTCATTCATCCTTTAACTCATGAATTCATTATAGGCATTCTTAAATATATTTATGTCACTTTCATTTTCATTCAATGATTCATACTATTCATTCAATTATCTGTTTGCTTGTTTTTTTTTATCTTTATACAATAAATATTTAATTTGATATTATAATTATTTATTCATTTTTGTTTAGATTCCATACTTCATCCTTTTTTATTGTTTATTTTGTTGAATCTTATTTATTAGTTTTTAATGTTCCCTTTCTAATCCAGGTCTTGGATTTGACCAATGTAAAGAAAAGAGCACTTTCTCCAGACTCCAATCAGTCTTTAGATATATTTAGGTAAGATTTAAATTTTTTTTGTTAAAATTCTTATTTTTTATTATTTTGATTTTAGGAAAAATAATGTTAGCTGCAATTCTTATAGAACTCATAAAATCAAAATTCACAAATCCTCTTCCAATTCTTCAACCGGTTCAGGTAAAAACTCTTTATTTCTCTTATAAAAACAGAAGATTTAGCGGTTTTTTACATTTTTATTAGAGAATTTTGGGATGCATCTTTTTAATTTTTAGATTCCACAAATTGGCCTCATTTGTTCCGTTTATATAATGTAGGTTTATTTGATTCAAACAAATCAAAAGACAAGCCATATACATATATTTAAATTTTTTTCAGGATCTCCAGAGCACAGAAGAACACCGTCACCGCTGAGAAAGGAGGTACATCAAGAGCACTCCTATCTTCCGAAGGAGTTACCAGACCCCTACGCGCATATGCCCAACCCCGCCTTTATTCTCAGTCGGAGGGACTCCATAGATGCAGTTATCCAGGCCGAGCTTGCAGCAGATAGAGATTCAGAAGATGATATTGGACCAGAGATTTATTACGCCCGGCAGAACTTGCAGAATTACGCGCCAAAAATAACGCGGGAATTCATGACTGCCCCCCAACAGCTAATTCCAGCCCCTGCACCATCTGTGAAAAGCCAAGTTAGCTATTCCCTCTCCAATGCCACTGCAAACAATTCCAATATGTCGGCTCATAATTCCAATATGGCCGTCCATAATTCCAATATGGCCGTTAACACTACCATCCATTTGCCAGAGACAGCTTTGGTTCCTGAATGTAAACAACAGACAAATACTGGAAATATAATCTCACAAATGTTACAAAATAAGATTAAGGTAATTATAGAAACATAAATTTGTTTGAAATTGGTTTTTTTTCGTTTTTTTCTATTTTTGACATTTTTTTTGCAGGAGGAAGGAAGCCAAGGACATAAAGCTCTGCCGTATCCCTTGAAGAAAAAAGATGGAAAGATTGAATACAAATGTGAAACATGTGACAAAGTATTTGGACAATTGAGTAACTTGAAAGTGCACTTGAGAACACACTCCGGGGAAAGACCGTTCAGGTGCCAGCTGTGTCCCAAGAGTTTTACCCAATTAGCTCATCTCCAGAAACATCTTCTAGTCCATACAGGTAAAATCATTTCCATTTATAAAAATCAATAATTTTTTCTATATCCATAAATATGTATTTTTAACTTTTCAATTACAGGCGAGAAGCCCCACTCATGTATGGAGTGTGGGAAACGGTTTAGCTCAACATCAAACTTGAAAACACACATGAGGTTGCACTCCGGCCAGAAACCATATGGTTGTGATAAATGCAGCGCACGATTTACGCAGTTTGTTCATCTGAAACTTCACAGGTATCCTATTATTATTATTTTTATTATCATTATTCAACCTACAATCCCAGTATCATTTCCTGCATTTTTGTAAGTTGTGATAATTTCTTTTATTTAATTTTTTTTTTTCAGGCGGTTACATAACAATGAGCGCCCGTTTGTTTGTAGTGCGTGCAACAAATCATACATTTCCGCTTCCGGTCTTAGAACACACTGGAAGACGACATCCTGTACTCCGACAGCGGAAGAAGAAGCGTTTACCGCCGAGCGGTCAATATTGTTCCTTCAGCAGTCAGATCCACTTCTCCAGAAATTTAAACTAGAACAGGTCGAGGAAGAGGAGGAGGAGGAGGAGGAGGAGGAACATCTTGACCACCATCACGCCTCCCCCGGACATCAATCCGACCACGGGAGCCTTGTCATGGACATCGACGCCAGTCCGAGGGGTTGGAGGGAGCGTAGTGAATCTCCGCATGGGAGAGTTAGTGTAGTACCTGCCGATCATCTCGAGCTAGCGGATTCTATGCTAGATCATCCAACCATTGATATGTCAACCGAGGCCATGCACGGTCACGGTCACAACCGGCACGTAGGTCACCGTGGTCACGAGACCAATGATATATCTTGTAACTGAAGTCCCACCGGCTAATCACACTGCTAAAATTCTGCTAAAATTTCGCATTTTTATATATTTTCACAATTAGAATAGAAGGAAAAAATCTTTAAACTTTTTATATTTTTTTAAGAAAAAAAGGAAAAAATTGCTGGAGGGGAAGTTTCTCTTTTAAAATTATTAACCTATTTATTTGTTGGCATTAATTGCAAGGCTTTTTGTTATAATTTTTAGGCATTCTAAACCTTAAACCATTAAAGTGCAATACTTTTAATTTGCTAAAATTAAAAATTTCGGCCCAGTTTCGGTAAAACTACCTCACGAAAATTACTAATTTTTAATTTGATTAGCGAAATGTTTTATTAAAATTTAGATCTCTTTTTATTCTTTGCGGCATTGATTATGAAAATTGTTATTAATTTGTTAAGAAAATTATTAGTTTGTTCTGTAAATTACAAATATATATTTATTATCATTGAAAATTAATAAAAGATCTTTTATACTAAATTTTGTTATTAACATTTAATGAAATTTCACCAATCAAATTAAATCTATTAATTTTAGACTTAAAAATGTTATTGATTTTGTTTTTATTTATAATGGTAACCAGAAAATTCTGAGATAGGAAGACGACTTTTAAAATTAATTAAACCATAAAAAGTCCAATGAACAATAAACATAAAAGTTGTGGCGAGAGAAAAGACCTATTTCACCAAATTTGCATGGATTAATAGTGTTCAGTAAAAGTATTTCCTTCGTAACAGCATTGAATACACTTCATCACAGGGGGGGGGGGGGGGCAGGATCTTCGCAACCCCCTGATATTTCAGAATAGCTTCTCAATAGCACTTAAGGGAAAGAAACCCTAGTGCAAAACAGGAAAGATATCTTCAATCAAAGAAATTTCCCCTGCGGCACGTCTTTTTGTTCCTAAATCTGGATTTTTTTGTTCCCAAATAAATCTAGCTCCCCCCTCACTTTAATTCTGTATCCGCCCCTGCTTGATCAATTGTATTTGGTGTTGAACATTACCATAATGTCGTCTTACCATTCCATTGTTTTCTGGAATTTTCACTAGAATCTAAGGCGATATTCAAAAAAGATGAGATTATCTTCTATATATCTTTTTGTCCCGAAGCGTTATTTTTCAATTTTTTGTTTCTGAAGAAGTTTCCTGACTGCAGTTTTTAACAAGTTACAAAATCCTTAATTCGACTCCCATGATTAAAAGAAAGGAAGACGACGACAATAATTCCCTTTTTAAACAGTGAGAACCAGAAAACTTGGGAATAGGAAGACGACATTCAAGCAATACTAAAGTGCATTTGATGAATTGTTACAAAGCAGATAGCTTTACAGTTACTAGTAGGTTGTTATAAGAATAATGATTTATAATGATGAATATATTAATAATAATAAAGTTTATATACAAGGTAACAAAAATTCGTAAAAATAATTTGGAAGACGACATTTGTTTACAACTTGCAACTGAAATTGTTTTAATGACAAATCTGACAATAACTTCTAAATGTATAAAAGAAACAACTTGCGGACAAAATAAATAAAGTTTTGATTTGTTGGTCTGTACAAGATATATTTTTAATTAAGCTAATGTACAATTAATCATACAAAAAACTAAGAAACAGAAGATTATTAGATTTGTTAGATTTACGGAAAAAAACTTTTCATGACTAAGTTGATTTCAAAGCAAGTTTTTCTCTAAAAAAATTACACCATAATTGAAATAAAAAAATAGTAAACTGTAATTTATGGTATCCGTTGTATAAGCAGAAGCAGTGTACATGATTAAAACTATAAGAAGGGGTCCCGGGGTGGAGGCAAAACTAAGTGCGTATAAGTAATAAAGTTATGTAATATTTTTGCATATATTGTATAATGATTAGAATAAAGGATTAAACGTTAAATTAATATTACTTAATACTACTTAATAATAATACTTTAATCAAATTAGAGGTGCAACTAATCCCCCCCCCCCCTCGGAGATTAAAAAGTTCAAATTTTTAGGTCCAAAAACAAAGGCAAATTGCAAAAACTGTAAATTTTAGTCGTATTGTTCTAAAAAAGCCCCCCCCCCCCCTAACCAATAACAACAGTTGTGCCATTGCCAAAATAAAAAAAAAACTTTTGTTATTTATTATTTAAAAAAATTTTAAAGTATCCTAGTCTCGATCAATTAAGATCAAAGGAAACTTTCTTTCACTTTGTTAAATTTTGAAAAATCACGACGACATTTATCTCCAACTTACAAAGTAACCCACTGAAAGAGGATCTTACAACTCAATTTTTACAACTTATTGATTGTTTTTTATTTGGTTCAATTCAAGGTTTATATCTTTTCCAAATCATTTTACAGCATTTACAACATTTACATACAGGGATCGTCGTAGTAGACCTACATTTACAACATTTACATTCAGGCAACGTCGTAGTATTACAACATTTACATAAAGGCGTCGTCGTAGTATATCAACATTTACAATATTTACATTCAGGCGTCGTCGTAGTACATCAACATTTACAACATTTACATTCAGGCGACGTCGTAGTATATCAACATTTTTACATACAGGCGTCGTCGTAGTATATCAACATTTACATACAGGCGTCGTTGTAGTATATCAGCATTACAATATTTACATACAGGGATCGTCGTAGTATATCAACATTTACAATATTTACATACAATCGTGGACGTAGTATAACAACATTTACAACATTTACATAAAGGCAAATAAGCACCTCAACATTTCCATTATAGATTCTTGCTGATAACAGAGGATTTTCGAAATGGTATGAGGTAAAATAGAATAATTTTCTAATCCTTTTCATGTTGTTTATATCCTTTTATTATTTCAAACTATGAATTCTGTTTAATATTTGAAAATATCATTTTTTTTTTGAACATTTATTACAGAAACAAATCTCAAGAACTGAAGATGGTTAACTCAAACCTAAATATATTTTCAAATCAAATATGGAATTAACACCCACTTATATAGTGACCATCGCAAGTGGATTTTACTTGCGAGCCGTGTAATTCCACGCAATTTTGAGAATAAATCTACGCAATTCCGCGCAACAGAATTCTGATTGAAATCCCTAACATCTACCTAATTTACTCTATGAGGTTTGGATCATCATCAACGTCAAAGTTTAGGTTGTAAAAAATCTAATTTAAAAATGATAAAAGATCTCGTCCAATGGGGTGAAAATGTTTTGGGACGGTTAAACACAAGTGAAAAGTTGAATTTTTACATATTTATTTTTAAGTTTAAAACTTTTAACAATATTCTTTAAGTTTAAATCCTATGTTTTGCTACTCTCCTGTATGATATGTCATGGGCAACTAAACACAGTGCTCCTCCAAACTGCAGCCGGAAGCTGCTATGACAGAGGTTCGTACCATTCTGACAGCAGTAAGCAACTGCAAAAGTTGACTTTTGTTTATTGGGTATATTTTTAGTAATATAGTAATAATGATAATTATCAACACCAAATTTTAAGTACAGTGGTCGGCTTTCATATCAATATAATGAAGACGACTTTTTAATTTAAAATTTAATTGGTAACAAGTTTTTTTTAATTACAAGTTTGCAAGCAATTAATTGACGCTTATCTTCATTTCTATGTTTTTGTGTATCCATGCTGTTTAAATTAAAAGTTTTATGTAATTTAAAATTAAAATCAAAAGTCGTCTTTATTGTACTGATAAAATTGCCTACTACCGTATCATAGGGTTAACACCATCAGATTGCAAGAATGTATGGATTAGAAATTAAAGTTTGTGATGAGTGCAATCAGTTTCTTTTTTGGATTGTTAAAAGTATTTTCTCCTCTTTTTATCTTTTATCAATTCAATTTTTCCTTTTTATTTCTTTTCTCCTTTAATTGTTCTGTTCACAAATATAAAATTTTACTTTTTACTTGTAATTCTTTTTATTTATTTCTTCACTTTACATTAGTTCTTTATTAGAAATGTTCTTTAAAGGGACTGCAAAGGAAAAATGAAAGGGGGTATAGGACGAAACCTGAGAATCTCAGGCGTTAAACGATACATATAAGACATTTATCTGATGTTCCTGTGTCGAGAAATTGATATAAAATTGTGTCCAATTTATACGCAATTTTGTAAAAATGTTTCAACAGATCATATTCAACAAATACAAAACCAATCTGAAAACGACGATATCCTACAGAAACCTGAGAATCTCAGGTTTGCTCCTATTTTAATTATTTTATATTTATTTTGCATTTAATTAATAATATTATTACATCTAATCCGTATATTTTTCCTTTACAGTCTCCCTTTAAAGTTATTTTCTAAACTTTTAAATGTTAACTAATTGTATGAAAAACTAATTGACACATTTTATTTCCTGTATTCTAAATATTTCTTACATGTCTTTGTTCTCGTTCATGATTTTTTGTTCCTTCATGTCTGTCTGTCTTGGTGTCTGTTTGTCTGTCTGTCGTTAGTTTGTTAACCTCAATACTGTCCAATCTCAAGCCATTCAACTGTAAAGCCTTACCCCAGGGGGGAAATATTCTTTTTTTAAATTAAATATTTTTTTGAAAATTATTCACCATAAATAAAAATTATTGCAGTTTCAAGTTTTTGAAATTTAAATCTTCAAAAATATTTTACTCTCAACCCCCCGCATTCTACTCAGTTTTTGCCGGATTTTTTGCGGGTAGAGTATTAGGCTCGTCTAGGCCCACATTTCTTGTCCACAATCTTGCAGAGCCAAAATCTACGAAATCAACCCTTTTTGCTTCGATATTTAAGTTTTCATTTTTAAACAAAGATTCTTTGTAAGAGACTCAGTCTAAGGTATTTTATTTGCATGACTCTGATATGAATTTAGGCTAAAGCATAAAAAATGGATATAAAATCGCCCAACCTCTCATTTTTTTTACAGAAAAAGGTACTTCAATATCATTGCGTATCTTATACTGTCTGACGCCTAAAATCATTAAGAACCAAGATCGCATAACTTTATTTAAATAATTTACTTTGAAATTAGAGACATAATTTTAAATTTTATTGCAGAATTTAACACGGAATCAAGTCAAACACTACACGCTAAACAATAATTA